TTATTGGATGCTATAGCCGAACAGCGATGTTCTTCTTTAACAACTCCACGCAAAAATGTAACTGCTATGAATAAGGGGCACTGCCAGAGTTGAGTGTCTTATATAATGTCATATTTTGTTGCAATGGCTAAGAAAACAAACCTAATGCGAATGTGCGAATCTGTGTCGATACGAATGTGAATGAGACTCCACGCCAGGAATGAAATAAAAAGTCGCGTGAATGGACAGGGGAGTTTGCATTTGAATCCGCGACCTATCGACTGCCGCCGCCTTGTGGCTACGCTAGAGTATTGCAATCCGTGCTTATTGTGAGCCCTGTGGTGCCTTATCACTGTATAGGATTACTTTCATATTTTATTTTACATTTTTTAATCCTTTATATTAAGTTCGCTTGCTTGCTTAGGACCGTGCAAATCTTTCGGTCGTTTTTTAACCCACTTCCCGTGATCCAATCGAGCTGACATGTTCCACACAGACTCGTTGTGCGTGACAATTAATGTTCGTGAATTTTTTTTTCCAAAATTTTACACTTTTTAGGACAAAAATATTATATTTAATGACCAATTGCTTAATGGTGCAATGCAATCATCTGACCCATAGGTGGCAGCCATCTCAAGCCAGAGGACGAGAGGACTCTAGCCGCCACGCATATAAAGGATTTATAGTGAAAAACTTTGTTTTTACGGGTTATACTTATTATTAATTTAGAAAGTCGTTTCAGTTGCGAGCAGTACCGGTGAACGCGTGAACAAACGGTTACCGGTGTTACACTCGACACGTCCCACTGATCGGCACGTCCATAAATGACGTCACGCGATTTTGGACGCTTTTTGACCCCCCTCAATATGACGTCACAAAGCTCTGCACCCCCCCCCCAAACCATAAACATGCTTCAAATCGCTTTAAACTATGTCATTGTTGTGCGTATTTAATGTGGCGCTGCACTCTGATGTTGTAGGAGAAAACATTTATTAAAAAGTCTATTTAATTAAGTAGAATGTGTTGTCTATATTTATTTAAAGTTGCGCATTTTGATGTGACGTCACATTTCTCAACCCCCCCCCTCGTCACACATCGTCACAAATGTCTGACCCCCCCCCCCCCAGGTGCGTGACGTCATTTATGGACGGCCCTTAGGACAACAACAACAACAATCTGGTGCGCGTGGGGACTCCCCCACGCGCACCATATTGATTTCGAACTCGGTGCAGACGCCCGATCGGCATAGACGGAGCAGACCAAAGACCCCGTGCCGATCAGCGGTGGGACAGCGCCTGTGAAGAGACCTCCCAGGGCACCCGCCGACACAGCGAGACCCAAATCCTTTTGTCCATCCACGCGACTATTTTCGAGTTTCATTCACATTCGTATTGCCACAGACGCGCACGCTCGCATAGAGAGCCTCACAGCGCACGACTCCCATCCTCAAGTGATCCAGCAACCCACTCCTCCTCCAAGCAGCTGGGTTAGAGGCGCACGCCGACACGCTTGGCGCGTTCCAGTGCAGCGTGGCAACAGAGCGCTGTGACGCCACGGCTCTATCCACTGCTGCACGGTGTTGGGTTTAAGAATGGTGCATTGTACATTCGTATCCAAAGAGATGCGCCCACTTGCATTACGTTACGTTTATTGGCCTTGACCTCACGTGGCAGCGACTCCCTCGCTAGTCTCAACAACGGGTCACCATCCTGTATAGTGACAACTCCTGCACCGATGTTGGTGTTGCACTCCTGCTGGAAACCTTGGGGTCACCTTTGATCCCTCTCTCTCCTTCGCCAAACATATCGCCACCGTAGCCCATGCACGTCGTTTTCATTTCAACATCTGGAAAATTTGCCCACTCATCTCAATTTCCGCTGCTAAAATGCTCATCCATTCGCTCTTCTTTTCTTGTCTCGATTACTGAAGTCCCTCTCTTCGTGGTCTTCCTGTCTTGGCTCCCCTCCAGAAAATTCAAAACGCTTCGGCCTGGATTATTTTTGGTTTAACACGTAGGTTTTCGTGACCAATATCATCCATAATCGAAGTGTTTTTGGGTTAGATCGCGTAAATGTATAAATGTGTCGTTAAAACCCGCCACCACCCGACACAGCCAACTAGTAAGGGTTGTCACGTAAACAGAACATGCTAATTAGTCATTAGTACAGCACACCGGTGTGTTGGAGAGCCAAGCCACATTTACAATCTGAGTACGACGTTTCGCCAGTAATTACGACTAGCTTCATCAGGCGTCTGCGGCGCCCCGAACAACCACAGCCTGCGGCACCCCCAACAACCACAGCTTGCGGCGGCCCCCAACAGACTGGTCAAGTAAATCCTTACGATCCACTCGCACAGCGTGCGGTGGGCATTCATTCAGCAGTGGATTTAAGCACCAAAAAAACTGCAGTACTAATGTAATGGACAGAGCACGGCTCTACCTCAGGGCAGCAGCGGAGAGAGCACGTCTGGCTCCCTCACGGCAGCAGTGGAGACAGCGCGGCTCTCCCTCAAGCCAGCAGTGGAGAGCAGGGCGGTCCCTCAGGGCAGCAGTGGGGAGCACGGGGGTCCCTCAGGGCAGCAGTGGACGGAGCACGGCTCTGCCTCACTCTCAATCACCCGTCTCCTCACTCTCACACACCCGTCTGTTGCTCGCGGTCACGTGACGCACTTCAACCAATCCGTGCCGCGTTAATCACAGGCACAGAATGAAATAAATAATAACAGATCTGGGCTATTATATATTAGGATATTCACTTCTATCCCGCCCCATTTCCTCATCAGCCAATAACAAATGTACAAACTTAATTTGGAGCTTTCGTGACTGCAGGAAATACTCTTTGGTTCTTTCAGTAAAGTCACGAAAGAACCACGTATACGTGACTTTACCGAAAGAACCAAAGAGTAACAAATGTACACTTTTTAATTCTTGTAAAGCGCTTTGATTAAAGCTCTATACATATATCCTACTTGGGATAACATTACCGGTGAACACATGGACAAAACGGTGGAACAATAGGTTATCCATAACTTTCAACCCATACGATTTACCCGTATTGTTGTCCAGTGAAATTGAGTTCTCAGGTCCATACGGCTTACAGCCGTTTGAATATGGGAAAAAATTGTGTCTGTTAGGTTGTATTTCTCGCTTGTGATGGGACCTTGCAGGATGAACATTGATATGTATAAGGGCAAGGGGTGACCAATAAGGTCTAAATTGGTCTGTAAGAAGGGTAGCCTGATAAGGGGTTAAGAGGTATGGGTTATCGCTGTTGTACGTATAGAAATGTATCTCGACAAAAGCAGAATTGCTTTTGCACCAAACGTAGCCAACCGTGCTAATCGGAGGTGCGATTTGAATTGACCTCTGCACAGCAATTCTGGTGTTATAATCTTTACACCCTCCCCACCAAACACATGATTATATTTACTTCAGCAGCATTTCGCTGACTTTTTCAAGAGGGTCCCGCATTGATCTCTTTGGCCAATCCCAAAGACACTGAATGTGTTTAGAACTGTGGAGGAGGAGACCCATGCAGAGCACGAGGAGAACGAGGAAAGTCCACGCAGAAAAAGGTGCCCGAGTTACGAATCAAACCCACGTTCAGTCAATACCTCGATGTGCGTATATTTGACGAACGAAGTTCGGTATTTACACCATTGGAACCTCATTTGCCAGTAAAAAAAAGTATGATAATAGTTTTTTTACCCTTCTATCTGGCAACAAAACAAAAAAATGTGTCAGTTTTGTTGCCAGATAGAAGGGTAAAAAAACAATTATCGAAGTTCGGTATGATGAACTTTGGATTCGTTACCATTATTTTACGGAGAAACCAAATTATTAAGTCAAATTGAATATACCGAAATTAAGCCATCTATGGAGCTATGGTGTTTGGTGGGCAATACAACCTCATGACTGCACCCAAGACTACGCTGGCAAGTGGGAATATATTTTACAGCACAATATTTATTTTACTTACATCAGTTTGTTAATGTTAATCGTGTACAGTATACAAAATATAATTTTCAATATAAATGTTCTTCGTTTATAACGTGAATGATCATTTATTAAGCGTTTATAGTATGAAATTGTAAGAACAAAGGCTGGGAACGCATCCTCATCGTACTAATGTTATAAATTATTCAATGTATGAAGTTCAATAATACAAACGAAACTCCAGGAACGCAACCACGTCGTATATCGAGGTATTACTGTACTGTACTTCTATAAACGAGGCACTTGTTACCACGGTGCCACCCTGTGGCCCATAATGCTCACCACAGAGCAGGTGAGTTCACCCAGAAAGGGCAGGTAAGATTTCATATTCTTAGGTTTTTGGTAAAGTCACGTAGGTAATTTTTTAAAAATAAATTAAAGTAAAATAAAAATAAAATAAAAATCACGTTTGTCACGTAATAAAACGTTTTGATTACGTGACAAATTAATAAAAGTAAAATAAAAAATAAAATAAAAATCACGTTTGTCACGTAATCAAAACGTTTTTATTACGTGACAAACGTGAATTTTTTTTATTTGTATTTTACTTTTATAATTTAATGTTTTTTTTACCTACGTGACTTTACCGAAAACCTAAAATATGAATACTTGCAGCCACGAAAGCTTCAAATCTAGAATCAGGTAAGATTTCCCAAACCTGGCAGTTATCATCACCATCGGTTGATTGAACTGCAAAGTGGATACATTCATTCTAGATTTGAAGCTTACGTGACTGCAAGGATTCATATTCTTAGGTTTTTTCGGTAAAGTCACGTAGATAACATTTTAAAATTCAAATTAATAAAAGTAAAATAAAATAAAAATCACGACGTTTCGGAGACGGAAGCTTGTGTTGCCTCCGAAACGTCGTGATTTTTATTTTAATTTATTTTACTTCTATTAATTAAATTTAAATTTTTTATCTACGTGACTTTACCGAAAAAACCTAAGAATATGGATACATTCAATCAGAGGTTACCCACATCGGGTAAGACGGATAAAAGAGCCCTTGGGTAGCGCGTTTCTATTCGTGCCGAGGGGAACACGTGAGGTTGGCCAGACCGGGCATGGCGAGACGCCCGCTCTGGAGGGCGTGCTGAGCCGGCTGGTTTGAGAGGTGCATAGCCAGCAGCTTCTCCTGCATGAGGGGATGCCAGGAGCCCAGGGTGCACTGCGGTTCCTTGCGGGCTCGAAGTAGTGGCACTGCCGCGTGACACGGCCTCGCGGGGGATGAAGTCGTAGACGGTCACCTCCTGGCACAGGCTCATCATCAGCGCTACTCCTGCAGCACCACGAGGCAGAGGGGGCGGCGCTAGTAACCACCACCAAACACGCGAGTCGCACCAAGTGCTACCACCCCTTTGACCTTAGTTTGACCCAGACGGGCCGGGGATTGGCACCTGTGTTCCGGTGGCAGGAATTGATTTGTACCGAGATCAAAGTAGTACTACGTTCTCCTTCTTGGTTCTTTCGGTAAAATAATAAAAAAATAAAACATAATAAAATAATTCTCACGACGTTTCGGCCACAACGCAAGCAGCCGTCCTCAGGTGAAGACCAGGTCTGTCGGGGAGACAGCATCTAAATGGACGCTGTCTCCCGACAGACCTGAGGACGGCTGCTTGCGTTGTGGCCGAAACGTCGTGAGAATTATTTTATTATGTTTTATTATTTTATTATTTCCATTCTAAGTGACTTTACCGAAAGAACCAAGAATATGAATCCCTGCAGTCACGAAAGCTTTAAATAGAAATATAGTACGACGTTGTTTATAATAAAATGTTTTTTTGGGGTTAGATCACATGAAAATAAATGTGTCGTTAAACCTGCCACCACCCGACACAATCAATTAGTCAGGTTTGTCACGTGAAAATAACGTGCCAATTAGTTACTCAATCAGCACACCGGTGTGTTGGAGACTAAACCCACAACATGTACAATTTGAGTACTGTGTGACGTTTCGCTGGTGATGTGAACAACCAGCTTCATCAGGTGAGTTGCTGAATTGTGAAGAAAAACCCTTCCCGTTTCTGGCTCTTAAATAGGAGTAAAGGCCACATCGCTGCGAGCCCTATCTGCATGTCAGCCCGTCAGCACATCACGCGTTTCTCGTAAAACTTGCCCAGAAGCCCCGACGAAGTGGGGTTTGGCAAGATGCGCTCCCCATGCCCCACGTTGCACTGCACCAGATCCCACAAACCCCGGCGGAAGCACGGGTGCAGCAGGTAGAATGGCTGGCGAGGCCGCTCGCGCCTGCGCTTCATGTACGCGTCGAGCGCCGGGAACGTGATATTCACATGGCCCTTCCACTGCTGCTGCTGCACGGATGAGAGGGGGGGGGGGGGAAGCATTTTGGAGCGGAAGACAGCAAGGCTTGGTTAGAGGAGGGCAATACGAGGCACTGGCGGAGGAGAAGGCGGAGAGTGTGTGGATGTGACTTGTGGATTGAATGCCGCGGCATGCAGACCCAAGGACTCCCCATAATTCGGGAGTCCAGTCAGAAGATGCATTGTAAATCGGTCCCGTGGTGGCGTTATGTAAACGTCCCGAATGTGGATCGCTGTAAAAATCGGACCGTCACAAAGCGGAGACCGCCTGTGAGCCCAAAACCTGACCCTCACAGTAAGCCGCGGGAACCCAAGCCCCCTATCCCGAACCTCACCTTCACGTCAAGTTGCGTAATAGGTGTGAAGGATTCTTGTGTTTTGTGAACGCTCACGTTTTTCTTAGTGCAGGTATATGGAGGGGGGCCCCACAAGACCAGAATGATGTCTCTGTACAACTCGCTCGTCTCAAAGTCGAACTCCTCCTGATTTACGATCTGGAAAGCGAGATAAGTGGAAGGAATATGGCAGGGTCAGTGGTGAGACATTGAGATGTGTTCTACGTTATGTAATTAACTGCGGTGCTACAAATCACAACGTTGGACTGTCCCTGATCTATCCCTGATGTGTATTCCAAGCTACTGGACTCTAAACCAAGCAATGCTTCAGAAAAAACTACGAAACTACAGTATCTTGTTTTTTTATATTTTACAGGTAGGCGCACTGAACTATAAAGCTCCTTTTCAAAAGTAACCGGGCCACACATTGATAGCTCAACAAAGTGGCACACCAGGCCAGGCAGTTGGCATCTCGCACCGTGGCGCCCCTGTGTTGAAATCATAAGTAATTCCCAAAACAATAAAGCAACTCTGAGTGTGTTTAACCACGGAGCCGCCGTGGTTGAATGGTTAAACCACTGGACTTGCAATCCAGAGGCCGCTGGTACGATTGCATCTTCCATATTCCAGCGTGGTAAAACGTTTAATAATACCTCTCTCCATCCGTGAGTCTAAATGGGTTCACCACAGTTCGTAGATCAATGAGTCGTACGTAGTGGGGTAAAGCGTGATTATTTCCGCCTCTTACAACACACCTGGTCAACGTGGAAGCGAAGATCAAATGCCGTGTACGTCAGTGGCTCCCAGCCTTTCGCGGATCCTGTACCCCGTGTTCAACCGAGTTCCCCCTTTGCCTGCCCCAACATGGTTCTAAAAATACATGTACGAATAATGAACATCAAGAGTTTAACCAATTGTCCATTTTGTGGATTCCTCCAGTGTAAATAAATATTCTTAATTATCTCTTTTTTTAAACACCAATACCCTCCTTAACCCCCCACCGGGAGGCATTAACTTATTTTTCAGGAGCAACCCGACCACAAGTGACAGCTCAACAAAGTTGCGACCTTACCTGCCAGTTGACGAGGCGAATGGAGGTCTTGGTGCCCACGTGAAGTTCATAGCCGGCCGTGGGTGCCGAGTTGAAGCGCATGACCGCGTCGTGGCCATCTGGACGAGCGCACAAGTGGATACATTCCTGCTTCGAGGTTCAATTCGTGATCCTGCCCGTCACTCTCATGGTCAAATGTATCACTCAGGTGGCTTTGCTGATCGAGTAACGTATTGACAGTGGTGCACGAGTACAAATAACAATTGCCAAGAAGACTTTCTTTAAATGGAAAAAAATAACGTCATAAGCAATGATTTTGGCAATGGACCTTCTTCATAGCACATAAATAGAGACAAGTGAGATCAAGTTAATCATAGTTGGGGACTGCACCATATGGCCTAATAACGATATATATTTTTAAGGTTTCCTAATAGTTCTAAATTGGCATATGATAACAGACAAACCCTTCAATAATAAAAAATGTATACCTCAATTATTTGTATTAAAAATAAAAGTTATAGAATATTGCAAGTACATTGCATAATGGTAACAATGTTAGTGTTAGTGTGTTGCTTAACACTAAATAACCATTCCTGGGCCTAATTATTAATTTAAATTGGATCAAAGGGCTTTCAATAAACATTAGCCTCAGATGGGGCTTTTAATTTGTTATAAATCCTGAACCTTGCAAGCAATCTCGACTCTCTCAGCCCCTTCCAAGCCCGAGGCTCTACAGCTGCCTCCAGGTTTGTCCACGGAAGAAATTCCTCACCCTCCCCTCCCATCATCCCGCTTCGATCCCTCCTCCGCAGTCGCCCCCCCCCCCCCCACGTCTCCTCACCGATCTCCGCTCCCAGCTGAGCGCGCAGCAGGGACCCCGCGTTCATCACCACGGCGCATCGCCGCCACTTCCCCGCCAGCTGCCGGGCGAGGGACACCGCGGGCAGCGCGTTGCGCCCCGGCGCCCCGGCCGCCTCGTGGCGCCGCAGCACCTCGGTGCCGCGCCGCGCCAGCCCTGCAGCGCGCACAGCAGCTGCCCCCGGGGGGGCGTCGCCCCTACGCCGTCGCTGCGCCGCCGAGTCCAGCGCTCCCACGCGCGGGTCATCTCCACGTGCACGGGGCCCGACGGCGCTCCGCGGACCCTCCCGCCCCCTCGGAGGGCGCCGCGGACCGGGCGAGCGGAGGCGCTTGCGTCCGCTCGTCGGTCGGGTCCCGCGCGCGGAGGGTCAGGGGCGCCGCCGTTCTCCTGGAACCTGGCGGCAGCAGCAGCGCGAGCAGCATCAGCAGGCAGGTGGCGGTGACCGTGAGAGCGAGGAGAGATTTGGGACCAACCCGGAGCCACATATCCGCTGGCTCGCGCCACGGCTCCGATGCGAGAGACTCCCCCGGGCAAGGCGCGCGTCTCGCTCCGTGGTTCCGCGCAGGTGCGCGCACGAGACGGGGGTGGGGGCGGCGGTGGGAGTGGGAGGGGTGGGGGAGGGCTGGAGGAGCCGCTGGAATTCTCGGCAGGAGACGCGCGCGCAGCAGCGCGCCTCGTTCGCCTCCCGTGATGTTGTCGAGTTGTGTGACCACTCCTGTCACTGGGGGCGTCTCAACGCGCTTCAGCCTTCTCATGGCTTCCCGCCCTACATATAATCAAACCCCCTATTGTAGTTCATACTAATAAAAGTACCCAATAATGCAGTAATATAATCGTAATATGCTTGGCCTACCTGTCTTATATAGTCTAATTCAGAGTCAATCATTTATGTCCGCGTAGACCTAGATAACATGACACCGGTCCCATAGCTCTGTTAACGAAGTCATTAGCGCGATGATCCGAGTCACTATCGGTCCTTTTTTTTAAGGATTTTATTGGAACTACGGAAGTCCGGTATGGCTTGATTTGTATCATGTCTCCTAGGCCTTATGTCGGCTTAGAGGGGACGGCGACACGATTGACATTCAAAGGCCACGCCGATCAGTTTTTGCCACCAAGACGGTAACTATAGCGCGGTAGTTATAACAGGTGCATCAAGTAAATTTTCCTAGTATCGTGGATAGGGTCGTAGCTGATGCCCGGACTGCCTAACGTCCATTTCGTACGGTACGGGACACAGTCTATACCGAGATCGGTTATGTAGCTCGTTGTAACGGACCGATGCGTTTGGTTTTTTACCCTTTGATTGCGGTTCCGACATATGTTGTACTATTATTTCGATCGTGGCCGTTAGGAAGGCGCACTAAATGAGAGACCCACCCTCTCGAAAACGTGCAGGGCGTCGCAGGGCTTGCCTTAACCGGATAGTGAGGTGACCAGTCCGATCAATGTAACTGCCAATTAGGTAATTACGACATTCGGATACCTTGAATAGCCCTTAAGTATATTCTACGGTGCCATTCCTCCGCAGAAGGGACAAGCGGATTACGATAGGACGGCTGTTTCATAAGCCTTTGGTTGATAAGAACTAATCCGGCGGTTTTAGTGTAACTGGGCGAATACACCATTTTAGGCAGTGGCGTGCACGTCAAAATGGACAGGGGTCTCAGGCTAATGGGACTGAAGAGTGGAAGCTTAGCAAAAACTTGGATAATGGCCCAGTGGGGCGTATTCATGCGCTATGTAAAGTCTGCACTGCTACACCAAAGATGGTTCAAAATTCTGTCGTCGGTAACTTAAACATCTAACTTAGAGATTTCTCATTGCCTCAACCACTGGCTGGCGGCAGCTTCAAAAATCCTATGTATGACTAAGATCTAGTACATCTGCAGATGAAGATTGAAACATATTCACAATAACATATACCGATCTAGAGAAAGGTGCACGTAGGACCTAACGCGCATACGTTGCGGGGGATACTTGTGGAAATTGTTTGACGCCCTGAAACCGGAATAGGTATATGGCCCAACATACGAGCTTTGACAGCCCCACAAATGGGATCCAAACGACATGCCCAACCCTGCTAATACCTTCGACGAGCTGTTGTACCAATATCTGCAGGTGAGGAGCACGTATACCCGACCTCTGCCGGTTCACTAATGCCCCACGTCTGCCAAGCGTAGCCGCATTAGTGTGATGTCCCTTCTCCGACACTAGTGCAGTGAAACTGTAGGCAGGAAATGCGACTTGGTCCGGCGCGCTTGCGAACATTATGGATTAGACCTCTACTGAGGGTCAATATTCACTCTGAGGACATGTCGTTGAGAGGTCACCTTTGAGGAGGCTTGTCGCTGTGCGCCGCCAGCATCGCTCCCTTACTGCGGTTTCACGGTGTAGAAGCTATTAGACATGGCCCGCATCCCCTAGTTTTCTTATTACTACGGAGTTACGTTAAGTGCATACGGTTGTACTTCCCACAATTTACGTCGACCGTTGGATAGTAGAACGCCAGTTGTGAGTGTCCCAAGCCTCCAGGTAGTCCTTACTTCGCACTTCATTCCGCAGGGAGGCCATCTAAATGTAACCGCCATGCGTCTCGTGCCCCACCTGTTGTCGAACTAGATCGCCGCCAACCACTTTGATAGTTAAGGCGACTTTTACGCGAGAGCGTGCGCTAGTGGGTCGTCTTGAAGTGCTTTCTGGTTGTGTGTCTCTTCCTTAACTCAGGTGAAGCGTCAGCTGTGCGGTTCAGAAGCTATACTGTGATCTCGTACGGGAGATTAGATGCCGATTGCTCATATTGCTCATACCGTTCGGATTTTCTACTACTGACAGCTACCCTCTTGTCCTTTCAGCCGATTGTCATACGTCGGTTAAAGGCGCCAGCGAAGGCCGTTTTGCCCCAGCTCCACTGTCCCGTCTATCAATCCCAGGCCGAGACGCCAGGCCGAAATCCCGAGATTGCCAGTATACTCCACCACTAATGGGCGCTTGGCCCAGCATAAAATGAGGGCAAGCCTACGATAGCAGCCGGAAATACGCAGTACTTCTAGAAGGCAACGTAAACCGTGTGTATGATCTTCCAACGAGTTCGTCAATCTCCGCCGGGTTTGCTAAAATCACCTATTGAGTCATTCCCACCATCGCAGATCCCTAGCCAAGCTGCAGCTAGGCATCATTACGTCAAGGTAGCTGTCATGCTCTGGATCTCGCCAATAGCAAGACAGGGTCCGCACAGACGTCTGGTGTTATCAGTTGTATTTGATAGCCCATCCTAAGATTGAGTCGCGCCGGTCAATTCTGTCTTACGCAAATTAAGCTAATAATCCCATTGTCGGCTCCTCCAGCCAAGGACCTAGGAATGACATGTCTAGCACGGCCCATCCCCCTTGATTATGCCACTCGGATGTGACGTACCCAGCCTTTTAATGGGTCGAGAATTGGCCACCGGTCGTCGTATGGCGAATATAGGAAAGACCTCGTGTGTGGTGCGTATGCGTCGGAACTGGAGGCACCTGATGCCGCTTACAGGTATAACGGCCAAAAGGTGATTGATCAAGGTTGCGGCCAGCTTCTGGGGCGCGTGAAGACAGGGTAATAAAGGTGGCCATTACTCAAAAGCGTCGCATTGTACACATGGCAGTTCGGGCCCTGAGCTTAGATAGCCTGGCCGACGGGGATACTCACGAATTAACATAAAACCATACCAGAGGTCCTGACCCACATGGAGCTTTGAAGGGCCGACCCTACGATGAATATTTGAGCTGCCCGGAGCGTAATTTACTTAACTCCCTAGTGCTGATGGTCCCGGAGTGGACGACGGTTTCCATTTGCCAATAAACGGTCAACACCATCATCGAGTAAGAATGTAGAGAGCCATGGGCGGCATACAGGGTGCTTAAGTAACTAATCCGCAGAGTAGGATCAGTGCAATCGTTCCTCGCGGCTGGCGCATACTGGGGGACTGAGATCACATTCTTCACGTGTGTCATACTCGACACTATGGGAATTTGGTATATAGGTAGACCTTAACTAGCACTTTGGGTTATTATAATTATTCAGCCCCCTTCCAGACCCAAATATCTTCTCCTAATGGCTTATTCCCTACACTCAAACAAATAGAATACAAAGCACTCTTCTTCGTCTCCCAAGTGGGACGGGCGTGGACGCGGCATTCCTACGTGAGTTTCCAACTTTGCTGTGTCGATGCAAGAAGTCGAACCACGCGTACGCCTCTCCAAGGCGAAGCCTAGACAGATATCCCTAACCAGGACTTAGGTCGATAAACCTTAGCGTAAAGACGGGGCGGGGAGCCTACGAGAACAGCGAAAGCTAATCGGCCGTGATATATGGAAGATTTGCTTATCTTCCACCGGATTTGGAACGGCGAGGTCCCCGTGGGGGAAAAAACGAATCGCCGTGGTTTCGTAGTCATATGCTCCTCAACTCTTTGACAGCCAGGACTAGTTGCGGGCGATCAGCGAACGTTTTGCACCTAGAGACTAGCCTAATATGCTCGCGTAGGGAGAGGTTGGCTTTTTTTCAAATTTTAAAAAATGCCTCTTATGTATTTTGCAGTTCTGCTCGCGCTCGAGGTTTGTAGCTTTATGAGCTAATCGGCTTGAAAATTTTGTGACTCTAGTCTCAGTGGCGGCTGTTTCCTGCGAGCGCACCAATAAAAGCCTACAAGAAAACATGCATACATGTTCAAGCCAGTATGTTAAGCGGATCCGGTCTGCCTCACCGAGCAACTTGCTTCCGGACCCTGTAAGAGAACCTTGGCTAACACGCAATCTTGAACAACCTCGACGTTAACCGTCCCTACGCTCTAGGGGATTGACATGATTTCTGGCGTAGCAGATTAGGTTCTGAAGCTTCATTACAACATGATGATGTTCGGACTTGGTGCGTCTGAAATCAACCCTAAGCATATCGCCCTTCCATGCCTGCTCTACCCCGTTCATTTTAGAAGCACTAGCTGAGCCCCTTACTGAGTTTGTTCATCCCCCCTGCCTAGATGTCCACTGTCGGTGGTGAATGGGCCAGCACAAACAACGTGTTATGATAAGTGCTGGATAGGAACCACACGGTGATTACGACGTATGGTTAATTAGCCGTCTCCATCGCCCCTCAATATCAAGAGGAGGATAAGGCGAATGTGGTGAAAACTTAGTTAGTCATCCTCACTTCTTTACCCTCAAATTGCAACGAGTATGGGTCGGTTTGCTGCGCCGTCGCACCTAGTGAGACATAACCTTGTGACTTCCGCAGCGCGATTGACGAGACGCACTTTAATATACCGCGAACGAGCACTGAACGACAGAGCACCACAGGCTACGTTTATCGTATTACAAGATGGCAGGACCGATCGCTATTTACGCAACACTCTCAAGCGAGTGGATGTTTTTAGATAAACATCTGGGCCTTGAGACTTTCGCGTAACGTAACACGCTTCAAGTAACTGGCGCTCTATCCCTGGGGAAAA